TAAGGCTCAGCTTCCAAAGTTTGGGTGTCTTATGAACCATCTCAGCTCCAACTGATTGGTAATGTGGCTCAGGATCATTAAAAGATTTATAAAGAGTAGCACAAAAAGAAACACATTTCAAACTTATTGGTCGTCTTTTATTCCTTCAACAAACATTTCATTAATATCTAATGTGTGTCAGAAACGATTTTCGATGTTTGGGATCAAAGTCCTCAGCTTCCTAGGGTCCTTGGTTCCATACAAAAGAGGCCCTGGATCCATTGATTTCAGCCCTGGATTTCAGTCTTTGTTACTGCCACTAATCACATGATGACCTTGGACAGATCACTGTGAGTTGGGGGGACTTCATCTATAAAACAGGGATGGGTAAGAGATCCAGAGCTAATGCTGTTAGGTCTTAAATTTATCTCAAATACAATCACAGAACATAACTAAAGGACAGTGCTTAGATAAAAGCAGCCCATTCTAGAAGTCACATCCTTTTCTTTGTTGACATTCATTTGTTAGTGAATGCGATATATACATGAAGTTTTCCTAAAAAGAATGAATACATCTACTGATTGTTTTTCTCATTCCTCATTCCTTTAGTAGACATTCATGGAATGCCCACTCTGCACCAGAAACTGTGTTTGGGCATTTCAGATAAGAGATGAAACATATCTTCTCTGCCTCGAAAAAGCTCACAATCTACTAATGGAGACAGAGAAGGAAATGTAAGTTTGGGTGTCAAGTGCTATTCGTAATCAATAATATTTACTGAGGGCTTATTATGCTTGAGCTACATCAGTGAAAAATTGATAATGATTTCTGTTTTCATGGAGTTTATATTCAAACATGAAGATCAAACACTAGAGAATAAACACGAAAATGAATGATACGGTATGAGAGAAAGTGGAAAAAGAAACATGGTGCATAAAAGAAGTAGAGCAGCTTAAAAAGAAATAGGAACGACCTGTGGTGGGGCAGGGGAAGCGAACTGCAATTTTCAGAAGGATTACCTGGTGGGCCTCCTTGAAAAGCTAACATTTGGGGCGCCTGGGTGGCTCAGTCGGTTAAGCGTCCGACTTGACTGCTGAGGTGTGATCCTGGCCAGTCCATGATGTTGATGCGGCCCTCCTGCGTTGGCCCAAATCACAGCTCAGAGGGCCTGGAGCCCCTTTTTTCTCTCTCTCTCTCTCTGACCCTCCCCTGTTCATGCTCTGTCTCTCTCTGTCTCAAAAATAAATAAACATTAAAAAAAAAAAGAAAAGCTAACATTTGAGTAAAGGTTTGAAGGAAGTGAGGGAATCACCTGGCCTTACGAATATGTGGGGGAGGGGCATTACAGGAGAGGAGGGCAGTGAAGCCAGTTTGGACCCAGGGGGGCTAGTGAGTGAAAGAGGGGAGAATGAGGTGGGTGGTGCAGAGTAAGAGGGACAGGGAGGGGGTGGATCCAGGAGGACATTTGCAGGGCATTGCAAGAATTATTTGACTTTTGTTGTTGAGTGAAATGGGGGAACTCCCTAAGAGGTTATGAGCAGAGGGGTGACTTCCTGTAAGTTTTATTTATTTTTATAATTTTTTATTTGAAAGAGAGAGAGAGAGAGAGAGAGAGAGAGAGAAGGGGCAGAGAGAGAGAATCCCCAAGCAGGCTCCAGGTTCAGCACAGAGATCCCAACATGGGGCTGAATCCCATGACCCTGGGATCATGACCTGAGCTGAGATCAAGAGTTGGATGCTCAATTGACTGAGCCACCCAGGCGCCCCTGATTTAAGTTTTAAAAGTGCGTTCTGGCTGTCCTGCAGAGAATGGGTTGTGGAGGCTGGGTTGGAGGTGGGCAAGAGTAAATCGATTAGATTATTGTAAAATGTAGCCTAGAGATGTCGGTGGCTTGGACCAGGGTGGTAGCAGTGGAGATTGAACGAGTGAAGGTACTAGATACGGCAGATGGGGATGGGGTGAGAGCGTTCTACATGGATGAAATAGACATGTACATTACATGTATGTTTTAGGCACAGAGGATACAAAGGCAGGATGTACTCGGAGAACTGCAAGTAGTCTTCATGGAAGGAAGGGTGAAGGTGGGGTGTAAGCAAAAGATGAGTCTAGGGAGGTAGACACTGGTTAGATCCGATGCCAGAAGAGCTCACTGTGTTGAAGAAGCTTTAACAAAGAATCGTTCTGCAAAATCTCTTTTGCAAAAGGAATATCGAAAGCAGGTTAATGTCAAGGATACGCATGTTGGCCAACGCTGGAACTAGCCAGCAGGAATATACCAAGGAACCAAAGAGTATTTTAATTTATGCCATTAAAATTCTCAGGGGCCTTAGCTCTTCCATCCTATAACGGCTAGAGCCCTTAGGGAACGGACTGCAACTATCCCTTGTCAGAAGAACCTTGTAGTAAATGCACCGAGTACAAGCAGATGGCTAGAAGAGCGGTCGTTCGACCCACCTGAGCGAAGATTGTTTGCTGTTTACCATTGTGCTTAGTCCACTGTGTCAACATTCAAGTTAGAAAAACAAAGATACTATTTCAGAAAGAAATGTAAAACAACACCTGTTTTTCAACAGGTAACTGGGGGAGTCTTATTTTTTTAATGTGCATTTTTAGCTTCTTTAGCACTTCATTGTCCTCCCCCAGTAAGGTGTTTTCGTGTCCAATTCTCACACTACGAAGCATGATGGCACTGGTGGTTGGTATAAGTTCCCTCTCTTCTCTGTCATTTCAACCTGTGTCTCACCCTTCTCCTCTCTTCAGAGATGGAGAATGACTGGTAATGTCGAACAAATTGAGAAAGCTAAAATAGCACTTTGTGGTCAAGTTTATAAAGCTGCACCAAACTGTAGAATCAAAGCCAGTAATTGAACAAGACAGACAAAAGCAAGATAATTCTGTTTCATTTATCTGAATAATGGCCTTATTGCTTCACTTTTCTTTGCCATTTAGGACTCAGGCCATGAAATGAAGGAAAATATTTTGGTTACATCAAATACCTTGCAAGGGCTCACTGAAATCTAAGAGTTCTCTTTATAGTAGCTGCTGCTGAGTGAATACATCTGTGTATTTGCGTACTAAGGAGTAAGGAATGAAGTACAACAATAAGGTTAATGAATACGTGTGGTGAATAAAGATAAATAATTACCCCACGGGTAGTCCGAAGTGGGGTAGGAAGGATGCTTATCTTATTTATCTTTAAGAATTAAGTGCATTGTAGATGCTATTTACAGATACTTGAGAAATTCATTTATATTTAGAGTAAAGACATTTAGAGTAAAGGACCTGGCTGCATGGTCCTTTCTTATTTTCTGGAGATGGCAGTGGAACCTGATCTGGGATTTTGAGGTAAATATATATTATTTCTACATGGAATGCATCTGTGGGAGTATGGGACACAGAAAGAGTTTCATCTTTACCACCTATTACAGCCATTCTAATGGTAAGAAATAACTCGTAGATGAATAGGAGGAAATATTGACGTAACTGATTTCCACTACGTTGGCTCCCCCTGGGTAGAATGAAGAAAAGATGTGCAAAATGCAGGCTGGTAAATTTTGTGCTTATTTTCAAGGCTGGTTTAAGAATTAGAATTCTGGAATAGGAACCAATGATCATGGGGTCCTCTCTTAGTATTACCAGTGATTTTTCAGGTCATTTGACTTCTGAGTGGTCATCTATAAAGATGACATGGGAACTGCTGCTTATTCCAAGCACAGTATGATTTGAGCATACAAAGTTTCACGTCTTGGGGGAGAAACCAATTGAACCAGACTGTGCAGATTAGAAGGATGCCCTAATGGCAGGGGAGATTATTATTACTAGCAATTTAGGCAAATGAAAGCATTTTATCGCTGTACTATTTCTGGCATCAATTTTTTTGTGCCGTATGATATTACTTACAATTTATGATTTGGGATAAACTAAAGTCCTCAGAACCAGTACCTTAATGCACTGCTATCACACTCACCTTAGTAAAGAAATCAAACCTAAAAATTTTGTGCTTTTTATGTTAGTAATGCATTGAAATGCAATGCTATATTTAGAAACAGTTTACCATATTTAGAATCAAAGGAAGAGGAAACAAAAGCCACTTGAAATACACCTTTGCCTATCTATTGACGGTATTGAAATGACTTCCATCAGGGGCGCCTGGGTGGCGCAGTCGGTTAAGCGTCCGACTTCAGCCAGGTCACGATCTCGCGGTCCGTGAGTTCGAGCCCCGCGTCAGGCTCTGGGCTGACGGCTCAGAGCCTGGAGCCTGTTTCCGATTCTGTGTCTCCCTCTCTCTCTGCCCCTCCCCCGTTTATGCTCTGTCTCTCTCTGTCCCAAAAATAAATAAATGTTGAAAAAAAAATTTAAAAAAGAAATGACTTCCATCAGTCTTCAATGTAGCTGACACTCATGCTCTCAGGAAAAGTTTTGTTTCATAACATCATTTGAGAAAATCCGCATCCCTTAATGCCAACATGGAAACGTTTCTTTATAACAGACGAAATAAACTCAAATGCCTGGAAATCACCATGGTCTGAGTGTTTTCCCCTTTCCCCCCCTAATTAAGCTCTGGGAAAACAGCGACTTTTTTTTCTCTCACCCACTGTGAAAGTTATTAGATTCTTTTGCTCAAATCACCCACAAAGAGGGCTTGGAAGTTCATGTTCCTTAGAGAGTTGCCAATTCTGCTAAAGAAGATTAAATGCCCATATCACACGTGTCATACCCTACGGCTAACAAGAAAGAGAGCAAATGTGGCATAGCCCGCATGTAGGCAGTTACCACACGGCAGCCTAGCCTGGGGAGCCTTTCAATTATGGGTAGTCTATCAGCCAAGATATTCCCTCAAAAATAAGTTAAGAACATCAGAGCCGTCACATTGCATCTTGGAATATTTGTGTAACAGGCTGCACCCTTTTTTGTGGCTCCGAAAGGAAGATTTCTGGGTCAGGGGCAGAGGTATTTGATTCTTGCTTGATTCCACCTGTTTATCCCACAGAAAACGAGGAAAGCTTTGCTCCTTGCTTACCTGTGAAGTTGATTTTCAGCAAATAGTCCTTGTACAACTTCTTCCCGTCCAGGATCTTCATAGCATCGCACAGCTTGGTGGTGTTGGGACACAGCGTACGCTGCATTTTGTGCAGGGCGTGGGCCATGGCATACACCGCGTTCACCACAAACATGATCTTGGACTCTTGCTCGTAGTTGCTGCTGTCGATGGCCAGGTGCTTGTCGCACGCGCGCCGGTGGTTCCGCTTGTTCTGGAGGCTGCACTGGAACTTCTGCTCCCAGAAGTCCCGGAACCAGGGGTTGCGGTGGTTGTTGTAGGGGTTGAGGCTCTGGAAGTAGCGGTCGAACTGGCGGACGGGGTGCGAGGCGAGCTCCAGCGTGATGGCGCCGTAGGCCACGTGCTCGCTGCCCTTGACGATGCTCTCCTGCGCGCCCCAGCCGTCGCTGGCCACCCAGGTGAAGGAGGCGTTGGCGCGGCTGGCGGCAGCGATGAGCTCGCGCGAGTCGTCGCTGCGCATGAAGAGGACCACGACGCGCGCGTTGGGCTTCTGCAGCAGCTCGCGGATCACGCTGTCGTAGGACTTGCGGATGTTGGAGCGACCCACCTTCTCCGCCGTGGCGATGCAGATGTTGCGCTGGCGGGCTTCCTGCTCAAAGGCCTCGATGCCCGTCTCCCCGTAGTCGCCCTCCGAGGCCACGGTGGACACGTAGGTCCAGTTGAAGAAACGCAGGATCTCGGCCATGGCTTTGGCCTGGTAGAAGTCCGGGGGCACGGTCCTGGCAAAGTAATCATAGCGCGACTTGTCGCTGAGTTTGGCGCTGGTGGACGCGTAGCTTATCTGAGGGATCTGGAAGAGCCTTAGCAGGTTTGCCACCTGGGGTGGGGGGGGGGGGGGGGGGGGGGGGAGGAGGAGAAAGAGAAGTACTTGTTTTAGAAACCTTCTGGTAAACGCACGTGAAAAATGAACAATACCAGACTGTTTACCCAGCTCCCTTTTCCCCTCTGGATCGCGAAAGTCTTGCGTACCTCGTTGCCAGAAGCTTCCCTGCGCTGTGTTTTGGCTTTTAGGGAGCTGTTTCAAGGGGAAATGTTTATGCTTTGGGAAAGGGCAGAGTAGAGACATGAAAAGGGCATTGCTCTCTGTGTCCTAGACTTTATGCTAGGCCCCGGGCAAAGATCGGTCCTGTTCAGGTGCCTTCAGTGTGGTTGGTTCAGGTTTCTGGGGTCCTGCTACAGCTCTGTCAGACAGCGAACTTACAAGGGAATTGGCCAAACCGGTTTTTAGACGACTTGGCTGCGGTTGTGTAGAAAAAGCCTGGGTGTTGCCTGATTCTCACTTCCCCCTCTTTTGCTAAAAATGGCAGTCTCTGGAAGAGTTTAAATTGGGAACCTGATGCCACATGGACAGTCCAAATTAGACATTTATTATCTAGGTTAAGAGGGAAAAAAAAAAAAATCAATTCTTTTTGGTCCGCTCCAAATTTTGGCACATGCTTTTCTAAACTTCGGAAAAGCTTGACAGACATTTTCTTTGCTTTCCTTTTCCTTTTCAAATTTTGTTTCTGTTTAGACTATGTGAAAAGAAAGCATACAGATGCTATTCTTACGGCATTTTTGATTAAAAAGCAAGTTAGGAAGTATTAAAGACCTGATCAAGAAAGAACCGTCTCCTTCAAAATTTTAAGGCTTGAATAAAGAATTTAAATGTGTCATAATTCACCTACCAGGAGTAGTTCACTGTGTTTATTTCTTACACAATAAAAAAGGAAAATGACACTAGCTTACCAAGGAGCATTTTATGCATTGAATGTTTGCATAAAAATTTATCTTAAAATCTCTGCACGCACTATATGTACATCTAATACGTTTATTTTAATTTTTCCTGGATACTTCACATAGCCTGAACCCTCCTGTGTCTATACTGACTTCAGCTAAGTTACGTAACACACTAATTGTACTTTAATCAGCAACAACACTGAATATTCTGATATACTCTATGAGTACTTTGAAATTTTCCTTCTGGAAATTGTGGTTTCAGGTTTACATTTGACATGTAGGAAGCACAGCTTGAAACAGGCAGCTGTTAGCAAAGAGCACAAGTAACATAAAACAACTGACATCTGAGTCCTGATTAATCATCATTTCATCTGGCAAAGGAAACTAACAGCCAAGTTCATACACAGCCACACAGCATGTTCTTGGAGATCTGGCCTGCTATTAAAACCAACACTTGATATAGCCCAGAGCTATCAAAAATGTTTTCTATATCATTTCAAATCCTGGTCCCTCTCACTTAACTACAAATAGAACAGCTAGAAAATCTGGCATTTACCGTGCAAAATAAAGCAAATTTAAGGCCCAAATCTTTCTTGCAGTTGGTAAAAACCTGCTAAAAGAAATTTTAGGATACAGATAGATTTGGGAGAATAGAGGTAAGTGGCTGGGAGGCTGGGTGGATGAAGGCTAGTATGCCATTTATTTCTTCTTTTATCAGGACTCAGAGATCCTGAGTCCAACACCGATTCATTTGAACATAGGAGTGCTGTTTGTTTACTCAGCCTGATTGATGGGGGAATAAGCAAGTACTGTCATTACTTCTAGACTGATTACCTGGCTTCCTTCGGGTTTATGTACCATGGTTGCAGACTGGCAGTAAGAGAGAGCCCTGTCTGCGCTCAGGCTTGCCTTGGTAATGGTGTTTTTGGGTAGCACTGGAGAAGCCATCTCTTCTTGATGCTACAGTTTTCTCATCTTCAAGTTATATCCGTCAAGACCTTAACCCCCTCAGGGAGGCAGAGAATGAAAGGACCTGAAAAATGCCCAGAAATATTATTTTCTGGTAGCTAGGAGTCACAGTGAAAGGATCCTAAGCTGCCAAAACTTTCTTCTCCCAGAGGGGTACAAGCGATGAGAAGCTGCTTAGGAAAAGAATTCTTATCTGTTGACCGGCAGGATCCTGTGGCTTCGTGTCTGCCTCTCCAGGATGTCTGAGAACAATTTTCAGATAAGGCAGGCTGTACGATAGAATGAATTATGCATAGAATAACGGCAACACGGAAAAGTTTCCCTGCACGGGGAAGGGGCCGCGATGAGCCGTCGCACGTTGGGGAGGGTGGAGGGCTAGAGTCAAAGAGCAATTATTGCAATTATTAGAACTATGCATAGTGTGTGACTATGAATCTGAAGGGTGGAGCACAGAAAGACGCCCAGGTGGGAAGAAGAAGGGAGAAGTAGAGGAGCTGTGCCGTGGCCTACACCACAGATTGTCTAGCTGCTGGTAGGAGGAGCTTTCTTACTAACATAAAACTTGGAACCAGAGTTGGGGGACCTCCAGATAGTTGTCAGCTGGATGTTTCCTATCTCATTTGTCTAAAACTTGGGCATCTGCAGCATTCTTAACTTGCTTTCCTGGCCATATGGTTGCTCTGAGAGAGCATGAAGGAATAAGGGGAACTCCTACACTGGCCATCATTTTAAGAGTAAAAGAAGAACAATTTTCGGATGGGGAGCTAATGTGAAATTTTGGAAGAAAGCTATCCAATTATATTATTAGTAGGAGTGGAGTGAGGAAAACGAGGATTGAGTTATATAGGCGTCAGCAAAAAAAAAAAACAAAAAACAAAAAAAGTGGTTTAAAAGTAGAGATACACTTCTCATGGACAGAGACTCTAAAAAGGTACATAGCCTAAGAGAGAAAGATTTGAAAAATAACTCCCACTGTAGAGAATAGTTTTGATAAGACGGTAAAGACAAGGTCTCCAAAGAACCCATGGGGGCCTTTGAGTGATAAAAGAGCTAGTGACAAGAGATGGGTGCTAGGGCTGTGTCGGGTCCTTGGGCCTCCCCACGGGCAGCTAAAAGATGGGAATGCACCCATAAGAATTAGGGAGACTAAAACACAGAATGCGAAAATGGAGCAAAGTGACTTTTGTTGTTGCTGGTACTGTTATGTGTTTATGTTTCAGGAGAAGACTTGGTGAAAAGAGAGACTTACTGGCTGGGGAAGTTGGTTCCAGATGGTGAAAGAAAAGACCTTGCCCAATCCCTCTTGCCTTTTCCCTCTATTCAGTGAGAATGTTTCCCAACGTGGAGATGGTAATACAATTAAATGAAAATCTTATCTTGCATCATTGTGGGAGAGTAGACTAAACAAAAGCCCATATTAACCCATATTATTTGAGTTTGCTTCCAGCTCTGAATTCTGGGAGAAACAGCAGATGAATCTGTGGGATCCCCATGAATAATCTTTGAGGATTCAATAAGGGGAGGACTGTCAGAGGGTGAAAAAGAAGGAGGAAGGGGAAATTCAAGAAATATAAATTAAGATTAAATAAATCAGTAAGCAGGATGTGTTTTGGTAACTCTCTAGAATAGAGTTTTTAAAGTTTTTTTTTTTAACGTGTATTTATTCTTGAGAGAGAGAGTGAGACAGAGTGAAAGTGGGGGAGGGACAGAGAGAGAGGGAGAAGCAGAATCTGAAGCAGACTCCAGGCTCTGAGCTGTCAGCACAGACCCCCATGCGGGGCTCAAACTCACGAGTGGTGAGAACATGACCTGAGCCGAAGTCAGATGCTTAACTGACTGAGCCATCCAGGTGCCCCTAGAGTTTTTTCATTAGAGAGCATGCAGGCACTTAGAAAGGGATAGCATGCATTCACTAAGAATGAATTTCACTAGAGAACATCTCTGTGGAACTATTTAGGGAAGAATTGTAGTCCTGGAGGACCGTGACTTCAACAAGGCATTAGTGACATTACTTGCACTCTTGTGGAAAAGCGACAGCGATAGGAATTGGTTGAGAAAGAGAATGGTTTGGAAGAAGGTGTATATAAGGTTAAATTTTTACCAGTGACTTTGGAAGATAAATATAAATAAGCTACAAGACCTTCACATTTTAGAGCTGGAAGGAACCATGAAGATGCCCTAAGCCTTTTGTTTTATAGATGAGGAAACTGAAGCTCATAGGGTGAAGTGGCTTTCCAGAATTTACACAACCAATAAACAGAAAAACTAAGATTAAAGTCCAGTCTCTTGATTTTTCCAAAGGACTAGACTCCCTTGCTGGCAATAAGGTGATATTAACATAGGAGAGATGTAAATTTCTGAATTCAAGTTAAAATGACAAAAGTGAATAAAGGAGAAGAAAACTAGGGGAAAATGAGGTTACAAATGCAAAGCTGAGTGCTGCAGTTCAGCACCAGAAATCCAAGGGTGGCTAAAATCAAAGGTGGATTATTGAGGGGTTTACTCTCTTCAGATTCCATTTCATACTTCTTCAGAAGTCATCAGGGAGGAACTGTCCCACAGTCCCTATTCTCTGAGTGACTGTCGGCAGACTGCCTTTTTGGGGAAACCTTTTAAAGATCCCTGGTATTTTTAATGGTGCTAATAGTTTCGTGCCTGCTAGGGTTCTAACTGTTGTAGATGTATTATCTGCTTTAATCCTCATAACAATCTTACGCAATGGATACTACCATTATCCTGTTTTGTAGACTGAGGAACTGAGGCACAGAGTGCCTTGGGATCTTGCTATAGAGTCCAAAGGTGATGGGATTTGATCCCAGGCATTTTGGCCCTGTGCTCAACATCCCACACTTAATCCATTCTGCAACCCCAGCTCTGAACCTCTGTCATCTGCAATTATTCTCACTATGCGATAGCACTGGTATATTTCAAGTTATAACATGCTTGTCTTCTTTTAAATTTCTGAAGGCCTTAACTCCTTGATTTGAGGACCATGAGTCATCATTCCTTGTTATCAGAGTGTGTGTTATCAAATAATATATATATATATATATATATATATATATATTTATATATTACTTTTTGTTTTCATTTTTCAGTCTGTATTTTGCAGTGGTTCCATAAGCATTT